CAGCTCGTCGCAAGGCCTCTACCTGTAGACAAACACAGAAAAACGCACACAAACATCCATGCCCTGAGTGGGATTTGAACCCACAATCCCAGCTTCCAAGCGAGCGAAGACAGTGCATGCCTTAGACCGCTCGGCTACCATGACCGGCCATCTTATTATTACCCCACCATATTTAAAACACCTGAAAGAAGTATTACTACACTCATAAGGATGTTAGTCTGGATGTAAACAAGAGTAAACCAAATATATGTTGCTGTCTCGTCACCAAAATGCAGGGCAAAATCATGACATAAAGATAGCTAACAGATGTTTTGAAAATGTGGCACAGTTCAGATATTTGGGAATGATAATAACAAATCAAAACCTAATTCAGGAGGAAATTAAGAGGAGACTGAACTCGGGGAATGCTTGCTACCATTCAGTCCAAAACCTTTTGTCTTCACATCTGCTGTCTAGAAACTTAAAAATCAGATTATACAAAACTATAATTTTGCCTGTGGTTCTGTATGGATGTGAAATTTGGACCAAAGAGAGATGAAGTGACAGAAGGTTGGAGAAAACTGCATAATGAGGAGCTTCATAACTTGTACTCTTTCCAAGCATAATTAGAATTATCGAGTCATGGAAGATTAGATGGGCCAGGCTTGTAGCACAAATGGGGGGAGAAGAGGAATGCATATAGGATATTGGTGGGAAAGCCAGAAGAAAAAGAGACCACTGGGAATAAGCTGTAGGTGGGTGGACAAGATTAAGATGGATCTTAGAGAGATGGGATGATATAGATTGATCTGGCTGAGGATAGGGACCAGTAGAGCGTTCTTCTGAACACGGAAATGAACCTTTCAGTTCCATAAAATGCTGGGAAATTCTTGAGTAGCTGCACAACTGGTGGCTTCTCAAGAAGGTTCTCAGCTCCATGAGTGAAAGAAGTATTACTCACCTAAAATTATTAATGGTGCAATGAAGTCATTTTCTTCCTTTGGCAAACTTTGAAATGTCAATGGAACATTAACATGATCCGAGGGCTGTGATAGCCTCACATTGTGACCAGGCAAAGGCAGTCCTGGACTACTACCGCTGTCGTGGTAGTGCAGTGTTGGCACCTGGTGGGACTGTGAATGGGATGGGCCTTCTAGAAGCAGAATACCGGTCTGTGCTGGACCAATTGTTACTGTGTTTTGATCAACCAAAGAAGGAAGTGCATACAACCCATGAAGATGTTCTCCAATATAAAGTGTTGGGCTGTAAAAGACAAAAAAAAAAATAAAACAATAACACAACATTCATCATAGGACACTGTTTAAATTGTATACTTTGTTAACGTACAGAAACTGAATACAGAGTACTATTTGCACAGTCAATATTTTGACCATTTATAACATACACCATGGATTATTACACCACTTAGCACAGTGACAAGTGAAGTATATAAGCTCTGGAAACACAGCAGACATGTTCCTGTAACTATTATATGAAGGGTGTTCCATATATAATGCCTCCCATTTTTTTGTGTTAATGTAATGTCTGAGCTGGATGTTGGTGGTGTTGTAGTAAACGTTGAACCTTCCCGCTAATATACTGCTAGTTTGGTTGTCGTGCGACAGATAGCAACAGCAGAGCAGTCTACCAAAATGGTGTCTGACATGGAAGTGCGTATGAAAAAGATGTGTTATTGAATTTCTCACTGCCGAACAAATTGCACCCACTGACATCCATCGCCGCTTGCTAAAGGTGTACAGAGACGATACAGTGGATGTCAGCACAGTGAGGCGGTGGGTAGTGCGTTTCAACAGTGGTGAAATTGAAGTGCACGACAAACTGCGCCCTGGGCGTCCCTGCTCAGATGCCACTCCTCACAATGAACAGCACCTCATCCGTACAGATCGGTGGATAACGACCAGGGAACTGTGTGCACGGCTTAATATCGGCCGTAATGCATTGGAAACGATGTTGGGGAAGCTGGATTATCGCAAAGTTTGTTCCAGGTGGGTCCCGCGGATGCTTACACAGGACCACAAAACTCATCGAATGGAAGTCTGTCAGGACCTGTTGCACCAGTTTGGGGCTAAAGATGACAAGTTTTTGGACAGCATCGTTACCGGAGATGAGACATGGTGTCACCACTATGAGCCGGAATCAAAAAGACAGTCCATAGAGTGGCGACATCCAGATTCCCCAAGAAAAAAGAAGTTCAGGACACAGCCATCAGCAGGGAAAGTGATGTGCACGGTCTTTTGGGATAGGGGGGGTGTGATTTTGTTGGATTTCCTGGAGCCTGGTGAGACGGTCAATTCTGAATGCTACAAGATGACAATGACTAAGCTGAAAGCCCTCATTTCCCGAGTCAGGCCAGAGAAGCAGACAACCTTTCGCTTGCAACACGATAATGCTAGACCCCATACCAATTTGGCGACCACCACCCACATTACAAAGTTTGGCTGGACTGTCCTACCACATCCACCTTATAGCCCCGATTTAGCACCTTCAGACTTCCATCTCTTTGGGCCTATGAAAGATGGACTACGTGGGCAACATTTTCCAGACAAAGATTAATATATCCAAAATTATGGGGGCACAGGTAGCGTAGTTGGTTGAGGCTCTATGCTACAAGCTGGAAGGTCACAGGTTGGAGTCCCAATGAGGTGGATTTTTTCAACTGGGTGGACGCCAGAGCCAGTCTGGATGACATGGAGAAAATTCTTGACCCTAACGGGACTCAAATTCCAAACTCTTGGTCATCCAACCCAGAGCTAGTCACTATACCAACTACGCTATCCCAGCTCACTTTCTTTCAAACCATACATATTTCAGTCTCTGTTGTACATGAACTAGTTAGTTAGTTATTGGAGAGGGTGGGTTTCGCCATGCACTGAGACCTGTATTGGTCCACTGTGCTTCCCTCTATGATTTCTACCAGTCTCTATATCCTACCGGTACTGGTGCTTACCATCAGTCCCGCCCAGCCAGCGAGACTGGCTCTACTAGCTGAGAGGTATCTATAATGCTTCCCCCATCTACCAGAGGTATTAGAGACTGCTGTTGGGCGGGAAACGTCCGTTAATTTGGCTCAGTGACCTCCTTTGGAGATATGAGGTTCTTTTACGTGTCGTAAAGCTACGACACGGGACCCACGGCTTAAAGTCCCTCCCGGAGGACTTGTTGCCTAACTTTTTCCGCCCTTAAAAATTCGACGACCTCCGCCGGGTATTTGAACCCGTGTACTATGAGTCATGAGGTGGGAACGTTACCTCTAGACTACAGAGGCCGCTTTGTACATGAACTAAGTTGCAAATTGTAAGGTAATGAATGAATGGTTGGATGGGGAATAGATCCCGGGCATGCATAACTTTAGCATACATACTATAAATTCATTTTATCGCTGACTCTAATCTGGTCTGTGGATGATGTGAACTGCATTACAAGGTGATCCAGTGTCTCCTCCGCGACACTTGTGAATGGCACAGATACAAGGCCATCATTCTGAAGCAGATACATGGCAATCACTGGGGATCCATAATTTTGTTCCCACAGAAATGTACCCACTCTCCGATCCAGACTGACGGTGCGTCCTGTTGAGCTAGCAGTGAAGTGAACAAATTCTAGAAAAAAAAAATAAGTTGTGTGTGTCTGAATTAGTGAAATATCTTTAACAATACCATATTAAGAATCCATTTTCTTTACAAAAAATATTCATTACTTTTATCACAGAGAAATTTAGGTTATGGGAAAGACAACATGAGATTATGTTTCCCATATAAAATTCATTCATTCATTTAGCATTCATAATTGCTACAGCAGTAAAACTTGAACAAGTCACATCATTAAATATGTCACTCTTGAAATCCTTTTTGCCCAAATGCCTAAAGGATTAGAATTTGTCAACAATAAATAATGTTCCACGGTTAATGGTAGGTCCAAATCCATCACATTGTGAAATATATCTGTGAACTTTCCTGTTTTTATTCTGTCAGTTTCCTCTTTTCTACCAGGGACAAAATGAGAAACACTCAAAGATGTGAAATTCATTGTAAATTGTCAGAACACAAGATAGCTGAGGCTGCTAGAGTGATGGGAAAGTGTACATTAATGATTTCTGGATACAATTCAAATCCTCATTCCCAGTTTTTTTAATTACATCACTAAACTCTGAATTACTTCCAACCTTTATCTTTAAATACAGTGATGAAGATTTTGATTTCATTTCATGTATAATTCAGTCTACATAATTTTTATGCTTAAATATTGTAATCAAAAATATTTCCTTGTGGATGTTATTCAGTCACCAATATCTTCTCTAGTACAGGAAGCAGTTTACATATTTACATGAAATTAGGCCACGCCATAGCTCAAGCGGTTAGTTGCTGGCTTCCCACCACGGTGGCCTGGGTTTGATGCCAGGTCTGGTCAAGTGGTGGACAAAGTGATGGTGGGGAAGGTTTTCTCCGAGTACTTCGGTTTCCCCTGCCAATCTTCATTCCACCAATTGCTCCACAATCACCCTCACCCATCATCTGGGGCTGGTACAATAGGCCAAAAGTGGCCACAGTATAAGGGACTTAGTCCCACCCCACTAACAATAAAAAGAAATACATATAATTACTGTGTACTATGAACATTTCTCTGTGGGTGAATTTCAATTCTTTTTTAAATCTGACAGTATATTAATTTATTGAGAAGTCTCCCCTTCCCATTTCCATCTTCATTTTAATTGTTATGCCATGTGTGTCACTGATTACAGTGCCTTGTGCTCTGATGGATGGTTATAAAAATGTGTGGTAACAGATTATTTGGTGTAGTCCTTATACCAAAAATAAGGATGTTTTTGATAGTTCTGCAGTTTTACTGAAGAACCAGAAGTGTTAGCCTCTACATATTGTGGTGGGGCACACAGTGACATAGTTTGTTGAAGCAATATGCTACAAGCCAGAAGGTCACAGGTTCAACTCCGATGAGGTCTTTGGATTTTTCAGTTGACCTAATCCTTCCAGCCACACTATGGCCCTGGGGTCGACTTAACTTCTAACAGAAATGAGTACTAGGAATCTTCCTGGGGGTAAAGGGCGGCCGGTGCGTAAGACTGACAACATTACCGCCGTATTTGAGCTGATTGTCTAGATAATGTGGAAACCTCAACATCTCACAACCCTATGGGCCTCCATGGCCTGTTACAGGGATAGCTTTACTATTGCTTCTGCTTATTCTTACTATTATTCTCGCCTCTTTTTTTGGGGGGGGGCATATTTTGGTACTGATGAAAGAAACCACATCTGAGGCAAAGAACAGGTATTTCTGCTAGTCATTTTATGAACGATGTGATACAAATTTGCATATATTTTGAAAATCTGCTAGATAAATTAATACCAATTATTTCATAAAGATAAATTCAGCAGCTTCAAAATTGCAGTGTTCTGAGATGTCATGCTGTGTAGTTCTATAAATAAGTTCCTCTCAAATATTGGTACATATCATATTACACAGCGTCACATTCTAGATGACCTTGCTCACTACTCAAAGTCTGAGAAGCGTACTGTGAAATAAGCTTCTTAGACTATGAACAAGATGGATACCAGACACTTTTCCATCCCAGAAGGAAAACTCTTTCTCCAGAAGTACATATGTCCACTATTACATAAATTCAGTTGGTAAGTTGCTTAGGCAAAAGAGTAGATTTATTTTCAGCATCATAAACTAATATTCTTTTACCATGTGCAAAGGAATATATTTTTAAATCTGAAACTAGAATTTATTGACAATTCTTTATGTTATATACATTCACAAAATTTTTTGATATGGCGTTACAAACTAATGCTACCTAATATCTTAAAATTTATTTTTGTACCATAATTATTTAGTGCTTCAGCATCCATAACGTTTGAGGAGTAATCACAAAATGTGACATTCCACCTTCTTTCCTTTTGTTTACTATCAAACATCATTATGTTGTATTCTGCAATGAATGAAGAAGAAAACAAAATTAATGAATGCACATCAACAAAAAACACGAATGTAAGCATTCTAAATATTACAGTCATATTTCATGTAATAGAACATCGGCCTTATTACTATAGTAGACGCAATGAAAGGATGTCATGTGTAATGAAACTGAAAGTTAGTCATCAGTCCCCTAAAATACCCACCCCATATTGCCTGTACAGGGTAACAGATGATGGGAGAGGGGCAGGCACACAGAGGGGTGGTGACTGCTAGGCCGATAGATAAGGGAAAATGTGTATTGATTCTTTTATTAACTTGACTATAGCAGTGATCACAAATCTGAATATTCTAAAATCAGCTCTTTTAATGTTAAGAACTAATGTACATTTTTATGATCACATATACCAACTGACTGCTACCGTCTGTGCAGTTATGACGTGTCTTTTCCTTTTGCATATCCTCCCTATGCCCCTGCCAGATTAGCACAGCTCCAAAAGAAAGAAAATATGAACTGATATCCTGCAATTAAATACATTAAACTAACTCCAAGGAGTGAAAATCCTTCTTCAGAAGTTAATTGCCATTCAGCTGCCTCTTATCGAACCCAAAGGTTCATGTGATCTGCTACTGGATGCTATCCTGAATAAGCTGAATCTAATTTGCATCCTTACCCACATTTCTTTGGGGCACGCGGTAGCATGGTTGGTTGAGGCACTATGCTACAAGTCGGAAGATCATGGGTTTGATTCCCACTGTCATTGGACTTTCCAGTTAACCTAATCCTTCTAGCTGCACTATGGCCCTGGGATCAACTCAGCCCGACAGAAATGAGTACCGGGAATCTTCCTGGGGGTTAAAGGGCAGCCAGTGCGTAAGGCTGATAACCTCACCACCAACTGTCTAGAAGATGTCGGAGCCTTGACATCCCACAACCCTATGGGCCTCCATGGCTTGTTACAGGGATAGCTTTACTTTTCTCCCTTTCACCCAAATTTCTTTAAGATTCATTTTACTATTCTCCCTTCTATGACCAGGTCTCCCAAATACTTACCAGTTCTTCCTATGAATATAACATCAGAAGATTCAAGGGGACAAGTTTTATCTGGCTTGTTGAAACTTAAAATCTCTTGTTTGACGCCTGTATTTGGGTCCATGGCAAACCACGTATCAATTTTTTTTCCTAGAGAAAAAAATAACTAAATTTTGGTTTAAGAAATTAAACATAAGAAAACTACCTGGTGTTCTAACATGAATATTTTACATGTATGCTGAAATTTTACACATATGCCATCATTCCTGATCATACCTGTGTACAGAATACCATCGCTACTCCTACAAGGTGATGATGCAACCAATTGCGGTATAGTGAATGGTAACTTTTTAAGAGCTTCTCTGTCGGAACTCCTAAGCATATACAATGATCCATCTTTAGGATCTGGCAAGAACAGAGGACTGAAAACAGAATAACAGACATTGTGACCTGAGATGTTGCATAGATTATAAGTCACAAACCAATGGTGTTGCATGTCTAAATAAAGCTTCTGTTACAATATAAGATCTAATAATTTTGATCTGATGTCTTTCACCTACAGTGTGATCATCTTAGAGAATCCTGTAAATTGTTGAGTCACGCATATGGAAGTGTTGGGTGTTCACATCTAACCAAGCCACAGACTCCTGGACTGCTTGTGAAATGATAATGTCATGTGTTTGGAATCCGGAAGGGTTACTTCCTTGGGAATGCAATAACAGACCGTTCTGTAGGAAGTAACAACAGCAGTATTGTAATTCTAACAGTGAGTCTCCACGGTTACAACAGAAGGTTCACTGTGTAGCAACGGCCGCAGATATATAAGAAGGTAATGCATTCGCCAAGATAGTCTTAAGAAGGCCGCCGCCGAAAGCAGTCTAGTATTGGCCAAGATATAGTGGAAGCAATAATTGTGATACCGAAAGTGATAATAATTGTAAAGCGTGTGAGCGCAGAAGTGAAGCATAATAAATATTCGCTACATCCTTGACGGTGTGAAGTTATTTGTCGTGTGACATACCCAGCATGAGACAATTTCACCTAGTTTCTCTCCAATGGGCATTCAGTATTTTAACTGAACACTGAACATATAACATTTTATTAATTCTTCCACCTAACAACAAAGCAGTTCTATTATCATTACTCATATGCAGCTATTAGCGGTAAATTAGATAAATATTGGGCTTTCTGTTACATTTTCTGGGGCAAAAGCACTGCTGAAAATTAGATCTGCTGAAAGATGTGGTGCACAGGTATAAATGCAAGAACGCTCCACATTTCCTTCATTATTATTAATAGAATACAATAGAATATATGAGGGGTAGGCGTTCTCGGCCCTTGCACCGTAACCTTAGGTCTATTGTACTTCCACTTTTTTAATTATTCCCTCAGCAACCCCACGCTTCGGATGAAGTGCAGGATCTTGGACGTGGGGGCGTCAAAATAGTCACTTGGTTCCATGAAGTACTGGCCCAAGTGACATAATCAAAACTAAGCTAAGGCCTCACATTCGCACAGGATATGTGTGGCTGTTTCATCTTCTGACACCTCTCACAAGTGGGACTATCACTCAGTCCCAGTTTGAACAGGTGTCCTTTGAGGTGACAGTGTCCTGTAAGTAGTCCTACCACCCATCGTAACTATTATTAATATCTTCAGTTAGAACATAACAGGGAACTCAAGGAGACACAAATGTGGTAACTCAAGTACGTGGCTTATATGCCATTTTCCTCAGTGCGAACGTTAATGACTAAAAATGATTACATTACAACAGTTATGGAATCTATTTTTATTGAAAAGAATACTCATTTTGTACAACTGTGAACTACTATACCTATATTTACACAATTACAATTCAAGGTACGATTAATGAAATGTTGTTAGGCTATAAAACTCACATGATGGCTTTTGTAGTATCCACAGGCACTTTGACAGCAGGTTCTGCAACGATTCAAATTCAAAGGAATATACATTCAAGATTTATAAACCACTAAATGTTTTGGCCTTTAACCTCCACAACTTTAATATCTTTGCTTCCATCTTTCACCTCTACATTCATGACATGCATTTCTGTCAATTTCAATTTACAACAAGAATTTTGAAGTCTCTGGGATAGTGCAGCCATGGGTATAAAGCAAGTATCACGTAACTTCGAACAAGGCCAAGAGTAACCTTGAATGCGCAGAAGAAAAATTTCAGACAAGGGGGTGGTTCGAGGGTGTGAGAAGTGACAGGGGGCCACCTCATCTGAAATTTTTCTTCTGCGCATTCAAGGTTACGCTTGGCCTTGTTCGAAGTTATGTGACACTTGCTTTAATGGGTATTTAATTATTAACCAAATACAGGTGTTACAGATGATGAGATATATCATTCAATTTTATTAAGAAGAAAGTAAAAATAATTATGGCATATTTACCATTAAATGTTGCTGAGAGTCTCTTTCTAACAATTTACAAATCTTAAACCAGACTGGCTCTAGGGCCCACCTAGCATTCTATCCGATGGATAGCAGGCGTAATGCAGCAAAGGTATGAAGCTTACTACTCACCTCAATCTTGTGCTGAGATCAAGAATGGTGGAGCTATACCTCCACTCTCTAACATGTCATCATGGCACGGTGCTTAATTAATTAAGCACAGAGACTTTACTTTTTTTTACTAATCTTAAACAAAGTCTGGGTACCAAATACAGAGAGAATAGCAGGTGCAGAGTTATTTCATACAAACTGATGGGAGGAAAAACCAACTGACGATTAACAATACTCTGAATCTGAAATGGTTTAAAGGATCCGCCCCCCCAGGTCTTTGATTTTTATTTACACTGATTATTTAACAACAGCATCAATATCAGGACTACGATGATTAATGAACATGAGCAGTTGGTGGAATGAGAACTGACAGAAAACCCCCCCACAAATCCCACATCTCTAAATTCTTTTAGAGAGTTTACAGAGCACTCAAAATTTACCATCCTTCAATGTCCATTTAATGTATCCTGTTTTTTGTCCAACTCCATAAAAGGAGCCATCCAGTGTTGAGAGCAAAAGGAGTGGGTCATCCCATTCCTGGACTGGATTTTTGCTAGAACCCTGAAAATAACAGTAACAGTACAGAATTTCTATTTGACAATTGCATCTAAAGATTCATATTCCACAAATCAAATTTAAGTAATCACTGAAAGGTTTATAACATATTCTCACATGTGAGACCTACTGCTCAGCAACATTCCTATACACAAACAGTTGAGCAGACTATTTCAATAGTACACATATTTCATGTTATCACACATTTTTCCTTTCTTAAGCTTATATCATGATATATGAATAACTTGAAATTGTTTTGACAAACATGCAGTGGAATTAAATTATATAAATAATAAATATTATTCTAACTGGGAAATTGTTGGATGTGGTGTGCCTCAGGGATCAGTGTTGGGACCCTTACTCTTAATATATACATAAACGATTTCCCCCTTGAAATAAGTAAAATTTTGGAAGTTATTATGTTTGGAGATGACACAAGTATTCTTTGCACAGCTAAAGACTACTATAATTTAAGAATAAAATATGATGTTGTTTTTAATCACATGTTTATGTGGTTTCAAAATAATCAATTAGTGTTAAACAGAACCTACGAGCTACCCTCTATATACATTGTTTTTTAACAAAAAGCTGAAAGAAGTAGAAACGATAAAATTTCTCGGTTTGCAGCTGGACAATCATCTGACTTGTATGGAACATATTGATTTTTTGCTTCACAAGTTGAGCACAGTTTGTTTTCTAATGCGAAAATTATCCTATATATTAAATATAAATAATCTTAAAGCCATATATTATGCATATTATCATTCATTGGTGCAATATGGAATAATATATTGGAGAAATACATCAGACAGTCATAAGGTCTTTGTTATGCAAAAGAAAATAATAAGAATAATGATGGGCCCAACTCATACATGTAGAGATTTGTTTAAAAAGCTTGACATTCTACCAACCCCATGTGTATATTTTGCTCTCATTGATGACATTTGTTGTTAATAATTTGGATAAGTTTCAAACCAATAACTCTGTATATGTCATTGGTACCAGAAGGAATGACCACCTTCATATACCTTCAACACATTTATCATCCTATCAGAGAGGGGTGTATTATTCAGGAGTCGAGCTATTTTAAAAAATGATAAGAAGCAATTTAGGTTTGTTTTACGAAACTATTTGCAAAGGAACGCATTTTACTCTATTGAAGAATTTGTCGAGCATGCAAGGGGCTCAAAAGTTAAAGAGTTAATAAATGGTCTGTGCGCGTGAATTATACATTGTTCCACGACCTATGTGTGTTATTCTGACAACTTGAGCTATCTGTGTGAGGCCTGATTATATATTTTATTGGACCAAGGACGAATGATGTGTAGTCATCATTAATTTGTAATATGTGACATGTTTTATATCCAACCCTACGGGGAGATGATTGGATCCATGAAGTGAAAAATAAATGTAAATGTACATGTAAATCACAATGTCCTAAAAGGGATAAGAAGGAAGAAAAAAGATTAAAGAGACCAAATGTTACATCTGTCACTGGCATTAACAAGACAACAAAACCTAACCTAACTAAATCACTGTTAACAAGTGTGGGTTTGGCCACAGCATCATTCTTGTAATCATACTTCATTAACCATTCCGTGGAATATGTGCACGTCCATCCTGATGTGTTAAAACTACGTAAAAATTAACATTACTTAACATAGCTCGTACATACTAATTTTACCTCTGTAATGGGGCCATCCCTTGAAGCTGTCAGCGGCAGAAGAATATGTAGAACTGTGAAAATTATTCTCATGTTGTGTGACATAATGCCATTTCATTTGCTGACAGGCCGGAAACTCACAAAACAAGCGCCCAGCCGATAATTAACAAATTCACACGTGACAGGGCAGAAACACTTAAGTGTCAACGTAGAAAATAAAAAAGAGCATATAGCTGAATACGCAGTAGTCATTACAATGCTTAAAGAGTTTTCGCTTTTAGAAGGCCCACAAAATATACCAACAGCAACAAACACCACATAAAATTGCCTCAGCTGTTTACTTTCAACACGTAGGATTCTTGCATCATTCACGTGCACGAGTGTCACAAAAACACTATCACTGATCATGAGATAGTATATTATTTCTGTGCCTGTATTGTTATTGTAAAAACAGCGTTCCTGTGCAATGGTCGTGACTGTCGTGACATAACAGGCTGCGTAAATGTCGGTACTTATGGTCGTGATTGTCGTGGCATTTTGCTCATGTCAGAAGTATACTGGACAGGTAATTTATAAAAGGGTTTGGTGGAATGTTATAGAGGAATCATTTACAGCCCTGGTTTTTCTTGTAAGTGGTGTTGTGTATGCACGCTGATTATGTGGAAAATGTGTATAAAAGGAAATGGTACTGCTAATGAAATATATGATGCACATTTTCTAACTTTTGTGAACATAACCCTTGATATTTTTGTTATCGTGATCTCTTTATGACAAAATTGACACATTTTGAAGAATATTTGGAGTGCGTAATAATAATCCATGAAAAAATTTTGCATAGACCATAATGCTATTTACGTCTTGTGATTTGTCACGTTGAACAGGTAAATATATTGTACAGAACTATAAGACTTATTTTGGACTTTATCCATCGTCTGGTATATATAAGACAATGAATGGAACCTGTTGTCAGGTGTTTATAGGCTGTTCTCTACTGATCGGGATTTGTCCAGTGATTGATACTAGCCCTTTCTAACGGGCCTACCACCTGAGGACGGAGACAAATCCAGTCTCTGAAACGTTGTGGTTTTTTGTCTTATTTATACCAGACGATAGATGAAGTCTAAAATAAGCCATATAGTTCTGTACAGCATACACCATCGTCAGAATCGTTTCAAGTCTTTTTAGTAACGACATTGTTTATGACAGCTTCAAAAAACGTGTGCCTGTCTCTGAATATTGATGGTTAAGATTAATTTTGGAAATAATGTTTTCAAATACCTAATTTAAATATAATACGATTGTACATATTAACCCTTATTTGTAATAAAGGGTATAATTAATGTTTGAAAACACGGATTGAGGTAGATAGGCTTTGCCCCATGAGTAAGGTCTCAAAATGTAAGACATGAAACTAATATACAGCATATAGCATTTTTAACGATAAATGAAAGAGAACATATTTTTAAGAGAACCTTTCTGAGATTAATGCCATTTACCATTTGGTTATTAATTTTCTCAGTAGGCTGAAAGAAACCTAGATTCAATTGTATGAACAGTTTCCATATGGACTCAGTTTTGAGTTTCAAAATAATATTAACTTGCTTACTCCATAACCAGCCAAATGCTGGGCCAGAGCTTAAACCATAGATGTCTTAAAAAGTGAGAATGTGTTAATGGTCAGGGCTAACAAACATGACATGGAACAGTGATAGATGAGTATGGACCAGTTGTCAGTGATGATTAGCAGGAAAAACCAAAGAAACTTGGAAGGAAAATCTGCTGCTTTCCTACTATCTCCACCATGGATCTTGCATAAAGTCATGTGGAATTGCACCAAAAGCTCTGTAGTGACAAACCAACACCTAACTCCCAGAGGCAGGGCATGACACCTGAAGAAACCATTCCTTTTATAATGTTACGAACATACACAAAAGCTTATTATACATATAAATTATGTGCCTCATAATTTTATTGTAACTAAATGTCTTATTGCACATGGGTGGAGTGAGGTCTGGTATAATGACACTATAGCACATTAACTCTTTCTGTTATAGAACATATACAGCTGCAAGTACAATAACAAGTGTACAGATTCATAGAACATGGAACAACACAAATGTACTCGAGGCATGTATTATTTATTTTAACTTCTTTCCCAATTCCCATTGGTTTAATCTTCCTAACATTTCACTGTTGCTTACTAATACTGATTATCCTTGTATACAGTAATTTTACTAATATTGATTGTTCTCTTTCAATTTTTCAGACTTGCTTTGTAGTTTAACTTCCTGTGTGCATCTTGCAATTTTCTTTGTAGGTCTTCTCATTTCTATTTGACCTAACAGCATTCCTAAGTAACGGCACATTGCCAACTGAAAGTTCTCCTCCTACCAACCTTACTTTCCCAGTAACATAGCAATGAGTGGAAGAAAAAGCAACTCTGGCAAAATAACACTAGGAATGCTAAAAGGTATGTATATATAATTTTTTATACATTCTTTATTTTTTTTTATCTTTCTGTCTTTATGTACATTAACCAGGAATTTTCTGTATTAAAGGAAACTAAATTTTCTGCTCATTTACAATACTTATACATGTTCTCTCACTCGGCTGATTATATTGGAGATTGCATGATTATTATCTTCAGCACAAAAGTTTTAAGAAGCTTGGGTTAGGGCTGTATAAATTTATATATTTTATTAAAATAAGTAAATATTGAGGTTCATGGAGCATGAAAGTGTTACTCTTTTTTTTCCCCCCTCCCAGTTTTGAATGATGTCAGGCGTACTAGTTTGTAGTACTTATGTGAGAATTACCATTATCTCATTTAAAAACATTTCTGGAGTCTTGCAGCAAAAGAGGGATTTATGGCAAATTAAGGAAACAGTCCTGATTGTATGTTTTCAAGTTTTTGTAACAGTGTTCAGACTACTCTGCTGGGTTGTGACATCACGTAATCTTGTAGGTGCATAGAAACATTTCAGAGGAACTCCAATTCATTGTCATAGTCCTTACTGAGAAGTGGCAGTTTCTTATGTATCTCCTGCACTTTTCTCATTCGCCTAGACTGGGCTGTACCATTTCTCCCTTACTCTTAATTCTGAAGAACCATATTCCTCGACACCCTGCAAGGATATCTTGACTGCATCCTCATACTAATTACTTTGACCCAAAAGATGAACATAGTGTGTTCCTCCAAAACATTAGCGTCCACCTGCAAGCTCACACGTTGTCACAACTCAGAAAATGATGCCATAAATCCAGATTATACATGTATTTTGCAGGATGATTATAAATTTATACAGTTTATAAGAGGTGTAATGTTTTGTTCTTATCTTGTTTCAATTGTACTGTTATGTACTTGAACATTACAACATTTATATACGATTTGAGGTTCTTACAACAGTGATTATGGAGAGTGCTGTCATGTGGGTTGTAACACCATGTAGCCTCTTGAAAGTCAGCTGACATTTTAGTGAAACATATCACCTCCATCTTGAGGGCTAGAAAATAAGCAAGAAACGAGTGTGAAAACAGGTGGCAAGCATATATCTGATGGAGATGATGTGTTCCTCTGTAACATCGGTTTACTTCCAACAGACTACCTGGTGTTATATCCCAAAAGATAGTACTCTTCCTTGCAACATTCACATTCACAGAAGACATTAAATTCACTCTGAATCACTAGCTGCCATCAACACTCCTCGTCTCACATAAGTGTTCACTGAGACAGCATATTATCCATTTATTATGAACCAGACAATCAGAAAACGTTTCACTATACGATGGGGTACCCAAAAGAAACCGAACTAATTTTTTTGTGGGCAGAGCTTTTGTAGTACTGCGTTTTGCCGCTATGAGCACATAGAGCTAACATTCTTGAGTCGATAAGCCGACTACCGTTGCTTCAGAAGATAAGGACTAGTTTGGGCAGAGTTTATAGTGACAACTGTTTTGTGTGATCGTCATTTTTGCAATGGCTGATTTTCGTGAACAGCGTGCGGTGGTGAAATTCTGCTTTTTGCTCGGGAAAAGTGGAACAGAAACTCTTGAAATGTTAAAAACGGCGTACAAGGACGATGCTAAGTGTTTGAGTGGTTTTCCCATTTCAAAAATGGTGAAATGTCAGTTGATGACAAACCTCGTTCTGGTCNTTCCTCGAATGAAAAGAGACATGAAAGGAAAAAACGACGGAGGCGCTGTCAAGCATCCCAAAAGATGAATTTAGACAATGTTTTGAAAAATGGAATAAAAGACTAGACAAATGTATTAGTGTAAGTGGAGAGTACTTTGAAGGGGATTGAAGGTTTGTGCTTAAAATTTGAATAAATAAGTTTAAAAAAAATAAGTTCGGTTTCTTTTGGGTACCCCCTCGTATGTATTCTGAATATCCATATAAGGTTAGCACTTGAAATGTTTAGTGTTCAACTGTGTAGACACTAAAATTTATACCCCGTGCTATCACAACAAACTTTACTGTTATAGGATTTGAGGTTCTTACAGCAGAGGTTATGAAGAGTTCTGTGTTCTGGAATATAACGTGATGTAGTCCGTTTTTCTTTTATTGCCAGTGGGGCGGGACTAAGTCCCTTGTACTGCGGCCACTTCTGGCCTATTGTACCAGCCCCAGATGATAGGTGAGGGTGATTGTAGAGCAATTGATTGCTCTGATTGGCAGGGGAAACTGAAATACTTCGAGAAAACCTGCCCCAGCACCACTTTGTCCACCACAAATCCCACTTGACCAGACCCAGGATCAAACTCAGGCCGACACAGTGGGAAGCCAGCAACTAACTGCTTGTGCTATGGTGCAGCCATGTAAAAGTAAAGCTTTCCCTGTAACAGGCTGTGAAGGCCCATAGGGTTGTGAGACGTTAAGGGTCCCACATTACCTTGACAGTCGGCTCAAAGATGACGGTAAGGTTGTCAGCCTTATGCGCCGGCCACGCTTCACTCCCCAGGAAACTCATTTAATTAATTTCTGGTACTCATTTCTGTTAGAGGCTGAGTAAACCCCAGGGCCTAGTGCGGCCAGAAGGTAAATTGAAAAAAATCCAGTGACCTCATCGGGACTTGAACCCGCGACCTTCCGGCTGGTAGCATAGTACCTTAACCACTACGCTACCATGTACCCTGGTGCAGCCACATAGTCCGTTGAATATCAACCAACATTTTGGAGTAATATGTCAACTCCATCTTCAGAGTTCAAGGATAAGCTGAGCAGCAAAGCAGCAGTTGACTTTCAACAGACTACATGATGGTATATCCAGAAGACAGAACTCTTGAATTCTGCTGTTTGCTGTTTGCAGACACAACTGGTACACAGCTTACAGCATTGCACCCAGCACTCTTTGACATTGAAATATACCATTGTTCTCACACATTTTAGCTTGTATAAATATTGGTAGTCTCTATTATCTTCCATGGTAGTGGATCAGTTTATGAAGTAATAATTTGTAAAGAATTGTCTTTCACTGCATGTGTATGGTAGCTCTGATGTTTCCTGTTACCAGTTCTTTCTTCAGTGAGTATGCCTACTGACAATTTATCAGAAATACTGTATCTGCCAGTGCCTTATAAGTTTCCACTTTCAGGCTAAAACCAGGCATGAAGATACTGGATTACATGTTTTTATGGAAAAAAGCATTGCCTGGTTCCATTCAGCAGGTTTTATCATAGACTGGTGATGTGTGTGATCATGTAAGAATTGGTGATGATTGCTTCATAGATATCATACAAGAATTACTTTTTAATTTGCTTATTTCTTAGGTAAATCAGTCACCACTTCTGTGCCAGTCTTTTCCTTCCGTTTCCGCGCAGACGATGAAGAACTGGAAGAAATATACCCAAGTGCAGAGGAAACAGATGATGATACTGAGAAAAAAGGTATAAAGTTTTTATTGACGTTATTTCAGTTGAAATGGTTAATTGGCAACATTAACAAGACATATCTGTATTTCAACCATTGGACTTTTCCAACTAAATGATTAGACTGAAGTTTTGTTCAGACAAAACATTCGTTTCAGTTTCCAAATAGCTATCAGCTAGTGCCACTTCCTACAGTGAGAGGAATTTGTATTCTTGCGAGACAAGGGGAATAAAAGTAGAGACCAGATGCCTTCCTGTGACATCTCTACATTTTGTAATGAGCTGGAAGGTCGCGGGTTCAAGTCCCGATGAGGTCATTGGATTTTTTCAATTGACCAAATCCTTCCAGCCGCACAATAGCCCTGGGGTCGACTCAACCTCTAACAGAAATGAGTACCAGGAATGAATTAAATAATTTTCCTGGGGAGTAAAACGCGGCCGGTGCATAAGGCTGACAACCTTACCGCCATCTTTGAGCCGATTGTCTAGATAATGTGAGACCCTCAACGTCTCACAGCCTGATACAGGGATAACTTTACTTTTTACTTTACAAAGATCTTCTTCCTTAATCTTAATGTATTCACTAGGACGGACCTGTCGAGATTTTGACATAAGATCCTTTAGGTGAAACACAGGAGAGACCACAAATTTCTATACAGTAAAGAGGAACACTGGAATTCATCACAGACATTGTAGCCTACACTTAAAATGACATGAAAATGCAATATTTCTCTGTATATAAACTGCATCTAGATTTTTAAGTCAAGAATTTAAATAAATACTAACTTGTATGTACAGAGCCAGGATAGTGCAGTCAGTATAGCAACTAGCTATGGGCTGGATGGCCAAGGGTTTGGAGTTTGAGTCCTGGTAGGGAAAAGATTTTTCTCCTCTCCATGTCCAGACAGGTTCTGGGGCCCACCCAGGCTTCTGTCCAGTGGGTACTAAGTGCCGTTTCACAGTGGTTAAAACGCCTGGGGCGTGAAGCTGACCACTCACCTCCAGCTAGTGCCAAAGGTCAAGGATACATGGATTTATATATCCACTCCCCCATACATCTTCATGGCATAGTGCTTAAGTAGTTAAGCACTGGAACAACTTTCCTTACAAATTAACAAATGAATAAACTTGCCACTTCTTTGTTTCAGTCCGTCACTTAATTCCGATACTCCAGATGGCATGGCCATGTGGCTTATGTAATGGTGTTATCAGTCCCGCAGACTGTGTAGTGCCAGATGTAGAATGAGTAGTGAATAATGAATTCAAAAAGTTGTGGATGGAAGCAGTCTTTAGCTGATCTGAAGTTCATATTTCAAAATTTTCCCAGCAGGACTGTTGAAAACCATGAAAACCCTCCAATCATAATAATTGGTCTTCCAGCTAAAATTTGAACTCAGGACTTCATAAATGTGAAGCAAGCGCGCTACTCATATGACCACAATGTTTGGTTGGAACTTTGAAAGCTTTAATGTGTCATGTGAGTAAATGTGTAATTTTTCTGTTGTGTCTTCTTCAGAGGAAGAATCAAGTATCTCTACAAGTGGTGCACAGATGACAGCAACTACCACTGTTCAGACTGCGTCTACCACAAGTGCATCGGCTACAACGAGCATCATCCATTCTCGGGACCCTTCACCCATGAAAGAATACTTAAAAGGATTTGGCAAGAGGTCAACTAGCGTTGATGCTGGAATGACTGATGGAGGGTTGCCTGCCTCTGGTGGCGACGCCTGGAGACTTTTCCATGAAATAAAAGGAAAAATTGCAAAGACAGTTGAAGAAAAATTTGGTGAAAAGAAAAGTGATAGAAGATCTAGTGCATCAGTTTTTGCAAGCGGGTCAAATGTACAAGGAGGTAGGCTTGTAGGAGGTGGTAGCGGTAAGGATGATTCAAGCATTAACAGTGATTCTGAAGATATTTCAGAATGCTCTAATAAAGGTCAAGATACTAAACCAGCAAAGAGGAAAGATAAGAAGGAAGAAGGATCCCCAAAGAAAACATTTCCAGACACAGATAAAAAGGATGAAGATAGTATTACATCAGCTTCTTTGGAAGCACCCAGTATATCCAGTTTACCAGAAGTTGGTGGTAATTTGTCTGCTCCTACATCACCTAGAAAGTCAAAGAAAGTTACTGCAGGTGTCACTTTGGCTGTCAAACAGAACAGAAAACGTGACAAATTACTGGTGACTGCAGATTCTGGTGGAGCTGTGCTTGATGAAACCCATCCTTACATTGAGGCAGAAGTAGAGTCTGGCGTAGAAGTTAACGAGGAGATGAACTTGAATGTCATAGAACCTGACGAGCAAGACATCCCGACAACAGATTATCGGCAACCTTTTCCTGTAACTTCCCCACCACTTAATACAAAACAACGTAAAACATCTTTAATCTTCAGGCTTCGATTCTGGGGAAAGAAACTCCTTCCATTTATAGGGATTTTTATATATTTTATGATTCCTCTTTCACCGTACATATCAGGTTTTATAAATGGAATTGCTGTTTCCATTGGAGTTGCTGTTGTGTATGCTTGGATTGTACATCTGATTAATCCTACCAAGTCACATAATTCAGATGAGAGTTGTCTTCAGATTGATAAGAAATTCAGTATTCCAGATTATACGAAGGTGCCAATACTGGAAGTACCTGCAATAAAGGAATATCATCAGCTGAATAAGTATGAAGTAGGTCACATGTTTCTTTAATTTTGTCATTTTTAGCTTGGTACAATAAAAGTAGAAAGTTAACGTCTGTATGTCAAATGGATGTGGGAAAATTAAGTTTCCCTATTCTGTTAATATAACTTTTGTGAATAGAGGATAATAGAAATACTTAACAGATTTCAAAATTTGGAATTATTAATTTTTAACTTTTTTGTTTTTATAAAGCAGAATAATAATAAAATGTTCAGTAAGTAAGCAGCATAATAGCACAGCTGACCTCAAACTCATGCCTCTTGTTCAGAAATGTTTAGCTTTACAAATCATCATCATCATCAGTAATCTGTCAGACGACAGGTCCACAGTCTCTTCCAAAACAGTTTCTCCACTTAATGCGATCTTCTGTTTTTGGAAAGAGACTATCCAGGAAAAGTGATAATGTGGTAGTTTTTCCATTTGCTTTCCACATCGCAGTACAACNGTTATAACAAAGGGTTCGTTGCCTAACAGCGGCCAAGGTTATAAAAGCCCAGTTTCGACGAGAAGTCTTCAGTCTTCATCGAGCCAGCTAAGAATCCAGTCGTGATCGAGCCATCTTGGAAGTCAGTCTTGGGATAACCGCCAGAAGAGATAGTCCAGCATCGCTGAGTTATTGTAAGCAGTGATTGTGACACTGCAAGTTGTAAATGGTTGTAAAGTGTGTGTAAACGAGCGNGGCCCTGCCAGTAGCTACGCTACCGCTGGTATAGCTCTCAGGGTCCTTGGCATACTCAAACCCCCTCACCACGATAAGGTGGAGACACCAAGGAGGGGGCTTTACAAATGTCTGATACAAAATTCATAGATACGTTTATAATCTGTTGTCATACAAAACTTCACTTGTATAACTATGATCACTTGTTGATTTTAAAACTAGAAGTAAGTAAGTCATGTACATTTTTAAGACCTCTCTTGTTTGTATTTTCCATCTTGAGCAAAATATTGTAACGTGTTTGCAATCCAGAAGAGTCACTGCTATGGAAACGCTAGAATAGACCGTTACAGAGGAGACAACAATTGCTCCATTGTAGTTCTAACAGGAGTCTACATGGTTATAACAAAGGGTTCGTTGCCTAACAGCGGCCAAGGTTATAAAAGCCCAGTTTCGACGAGAAGTCTTCAGTCTTCATCGAGCCAGCTAAGAATCCAGTCGTGATCGAGCCATCTTGGAAGTCAGTCTTGGGATAACCGCCAGAAGAGATAGTCCAGCATCGCTGAGTTATTGTAAGCAGTGATTGTGACACTGCAAGTTGTAAATGGTTGTAAAGTGTGTGTAAACGAGCGAGGAATAAACTCGCTATGCCAAACGACGGCGTGAACTTATTTGTAGCGTGACAGACACACAAAACACGCTACATTGGTGTCAGGAGTGGGATGAGACCTATACACGTGACCGACAAAGTTTGAACTCAAAACACGCTACATTGGTGTCAGAAGTGGGATAAGACTTATACACGCTACATTGGTGTCAGAAGTGGGATGAGACCTATACACGTGAGGCCTACCTGAATCTATTGGTAGCGTGACACACCCAATACGCTACAATATTCTTAAATTTATGTATGTTTCTATGAGCACCCCATATTAAACTTCATGACCCTACATTAAAGGAATGTAGAATAGTCCTGTCTCAGATATTCAAATTGCCTTAACTAATAAAAGTTTGAAAATATGGTGTCACCTCTAGTGATCATTCAAAATTTCATGTCAGTCTTGTTGCTAATCATTACTGAACAAGGAGGTGAACAAGTAAATCCATAAGATTCAGTAGTAGCGTGCTTAACAAGGAATGGATTATGAGATTCAGCATTTTCACATCTGTAATTATCAGTATTACAGTCTTCTGGGATGTGATACTTTGTAGTTGGGTAGGTAGCTACTAGTGTTTCAGAGGATCCTGCCACCTCCAACTTCACAGTAAAAGGGAGCTCTTCTACCCTGAAGATGGAGGCAGCAGTGTTCTCAAAAGCTTTCATACCCATTTACCAAACTTCATGGCATGACATAAGTGGACCATAATCATGAAAGAATGGGTTGCTGCAACTGATTACATAGTACTGTATTCTACATTTACTTAGATCACTGTCCAAGATGTAAAGTTAAATAATGTTTTTTTCTGAAATTAGACTTGCATAAATTATGCTGTGTGTCATAATTATTTATTTCTTAAGGGATGGATGAATGAATATCGAAGTGAATACAACCCAGAGACATATCACATACATGACACCGAGTCTGTGTATATCCGACTTGAAGGAACAACTCTTAGAATTTCTCATACGAAGTTTCGGGTTCCTAAGCGAGCCATGTGGAATGAACGTGCCCATAAATTGAAATTTTATCATCAACGAATTTACAGCATAGAAAACTGTATCCTGAAACTTTTGCCAGAAAGACTGACCAGGAGAAGGTGAGAACATGTCGTAAACGGGAGAAAGTTTCGTGAGTGGGGTTTAAGATTATAAAATTATTTATATTTCTAACCAGACAACTTTTATCATGTAAAATCTGAGATTTTTCACAACAGCATATATGAATATTACTGCTTTTGGGATGTGGTACCATGTAGTCTGGTAGAAATGTACCAATTTTTTTGCTGAAACCTGCTGCCTTCATTGCATGGTAGAAGAAAACTGAGGTAGCGGGGTCCTCTAAAATGTCAATTAACTTCCACCAAACTACATGGCATGACACTGAAGAAGATAGTACCAAACTTTTGGCTCTTTTATTGCTCCATAAAAATTGTTCATATATATTATGTGCTAAGAAATGTACTAGATAGTAATTTATGATGATATTTTATGTATTTAAAAGAAGTAATGCAGTTATTTTCTCTTATGTTCATAAAGATGAGGCAGGAACAGGATATTCATGTTATTCAGAAATTATCCAGTATCAAACACTTCACAGAATAGTGTTATGGGTTACGACAGGCCGTGCCATAGCTCAGACGGTTATTCGCCTGCTTCTACCACCACAGCAGCCCATGTTTGAGCCCGGGTCAGGTCATGTGGGATTTGTAGTGGACAAAGTGGCACTGGGGCAGGTTTTCGCCAAGTACTTTGGTTTCCCCTACAAATTATCATTCCACCGACTGCTCCACACTCATCATCATCTATCATTGAGGGCTGGTACAATAGGCCAAACAGTTGCCGACATGCCAAGTGGACTCAGTCTCACCCTGCCCCAAGAAACTAAAAAAGAAAAAAAAACTACAGTGTTATGACCATGTTCATTGTTTAAATTAAAGTTAAGTATCATAATCATCATACTGTTTCATATTAGCCACATTTAGCCTGTTACGGTAAGCATAAAATGGAATCTGTTCTAATCATCCTGTTTCTGTAGATTGGTAATTAATATTTCTAACATCCCTAGAAGAGGAATACATATAGGATATTGATGGGAAAGCCGGAAGGAAAAAGACCACTGGGAAGAGCAAGGCATAGGTGGGTGGACAATATTAAAATGGATCTTAGAGAGATAGGATGGGATGGTATGGATTGGGTTGATCTGTCTCAGGATAGACACCAATGGAGAGCTCTTGTGAACATGGTAATGAACCTTCAGATTACATAAAATACTGGGAAATTCTTGAGTAGTTGCAGAATTGGTGGCTCCTCAAGAAGGGTTCAGCTCCACAAGTAAGTAACTAAGTAGTATCCTGTGGGATGTACTGTAAGTTAAACAGGTGTCGTGTAAAAGTGTGTACAACAGAATATAGCAGGTTTAAGAGCTTAAATATATTGTGTAAGATTTGAGGCTTTCACGGCGGTGACTATGAAGAAAGCAGTCTTCTGGGATTTGGCACCGTGTATATGTGGTGTTAACCGACGTTTCGGCGGAACGTATCGCCTCCATCTTCAGGGTAGAATAAAAAATATAAGAAATCTGCAAGCGAAGAGCTTTGCCGGTTTTCACAGTCTCTTCACTTGCAGATTTCTTATATATTTTTTCTTCTACCCTGACGATGAAGGCGATACGTTCCTCCAAAACGTCGGTTAACACCACATATACACGGTGCCAAATCCCAGAAGACTGCTTTCTTAAATATATTCCTGACTTTCTTTATTTCTAACAGACTTTGGAGCAAGAAGTACCCAATCTGCATTATCTTGAACCATAATGCAAAAGTGAGATTTGAGGACATCCTTGAGAGTCATGAGAAGGAGGAACGAGATGACCCAAGTCTTAAATTTCCAGACTCGGTTACAGATGAGTTCATGGATGAGATACCAGATAATCCGTCTAGTCAGCATTCCAAATCTGAGGCTGGTAAGTCGAATAATAGGATGGTTCTTGCAGTAGCTTGACTATCTTAAACCCACGAAGACCTGATTTACTGTTCCCTGTCATTTTAATCTTCTCTGAGATTTTTTAGATTTTTTTGCAGTACTTGTAAATTTAGGAATGTTAATGCATGAGGCAAATGGAATGGACAGCTCCAGTGGGGTACACATATTTTTAAAATGTATTCTTCACTATTTTTCATAATATACTGGGCATAATGTCGATTTATTTAAGAGAGAAATGTATCGTAGCATGTAGACCCATTACTGGGCAAAACATCAAAACAACATCCACTGCTAGGTAACATATTTTTAGTAAGCACATATATGGAGCCATTACTGAGTAACACCTTCACAAAGAAACATATTCCCATGGAAACGATTGGAGTGCAGAAGTGAACAATTGTACATGGAACACGCCAAAATATGATAAGGAGGACAATTAGTTAAGAGTTAGAGTTAATGGAGTTGTAGGATATTTGCCAGACAGTATCGAAGTGTGTCTCTCTCTGTGTCCCCCCACCCTCTGCCCCCCACTCTCTCTCTCTCTCAGAGAGGGAGAGAGAGATAAGCATAATGAGGGTGGGGGGAACAAGGAAACAAGGCCTCTATGCCTCACCCTTCAAAAAATGTTAAAAAATCAAACATAAGTAAGAAGGGATTGAAGGCATTCTTTTAAATTAATAAAAATAGTCCTGAAAAGCTTAAATGTAAGTTTGTAAGTAAATTTACTAGCTGCTCCACACTGTAAAAGGTCATGGAGATAGGTGGGATGGGTGGTACACTTTGTACAGTGTGGAAAAGTAACTGGTGCGGTCTGTAACTTGTGATTACAGTGAAAAGAAAAGAATGTGTCTAATAGACAAAATTCGCCTTCTCATCTTGATTCCTGAAATTCTTCAAATTACACGCCTCAAACTTATGATGTCATTGTTGCATATATCTAGTTTACATATCTCAGTTGTATATGATGCTTATAGGACACGAAGAAGACGATGCCACTTCTAACCAAATATCTGAAGCGAAAGATCTTAATGACATTTCAGATATGCCAGCTGATGAGAGTGATGATGAAACATTCTGTCATATTGATAAATATGAAGTGATGGAGGACTGTTTGTACCTGTTTGCTAGGACGGACAGAGAGAAGGAGGATTGGTAATATAATTATATACCGCATGTTTCTTTACAACTGTACTAGACAAGCCAGGGGTGTAGAAATGGAAGTTACAGCATTGTGTTACTGTATGATAAGGCCGCACCATAGCTCAAGCGGTTAGTCGCTGGCTTCCCAGCGTTGTGGCCCGGGTTCAATCACGGGTGTAGTTAAATGGGATTTGTGGTGGACAAAGTGGCGCTGGGGCGGGTTTTCTCCGAGTACTTCAGTTTCCCCTGTCAATCTTCATTCCACCAAATTCTCCATCATCATAATCACCCGGGACAGATACAATAGGCCAATCAGTGGCTGTGGCCATGCCGAGTGGACCCAGTTGGACTCCACCCCCCACTAAGCGAACTTAACAGTAAAAGGACTAAAATAAATGGAGTATAGATTGTAATATGTGAATGCTGAAAGTCACAGTAATGAAATATACAATTGCAGCAAAACCCCATTTTGGTGTTTCCACATTTGGCAAAAAATAATGCATTGGTCACAGCCAGAGTTCGGTATAAACAACAGGTATTTCCCCATTTCTTGAGTCAATTACAATTTAATAAATATACCATAATAAATTTAGTGTAAGAAATCTTTTGCCTTCCAGAATTTATACCACAATTTAGTGTGTCCTTGGTCAAAACGGCAATTGTTATTTACGTTTTCCCCCTGCCAGAAATCATTACTGCAGAACAGTAAAATTTGAAGAGTGACATCTCATATCAAACATGCCACTTGAGGTATCATAGTTGCTTTGATTCTCAGCTAGGCTTCCCTGTTATTTTTAATTTCATATCATTAATTATTTTAATAATTTTATATTATTATGTAATTGTATTTTGTAGGAATAATTTCTGTATATATTAGGAAAATAAATCATTTTATTATAATTGTAAGTAGTGGGTGATACAAAAGTGAATAGTTTGTTGATGTAATGTTGCATAACTTCTTTTATCGAAAGGCTTGATTCATTAAATATATTTTCTGAGTCTCTCTGTTACTTTGCCCCTTTTTCTAGGTATAGAAGATTTGCAGCTGTCATTCGTCGGAAACGTTCCCCTGACAGTAACGAGGAAGACTCTGTTTCCATAATACCCGATATATCCAGTTCAGCAATAGTCAGCCCAACTGCAAGTGATGATAATCTGTCAGAAGCCTCGTCAGACACGCCCTGTTCCCCCTCAACAGGAACAGCATCGCCTTTACAAGCAGGGCTCACCTTCACATTACCGGCCAATGACTACATGGCAGTCACATCATTTCAAGCCAGAGACTTTGAATACCTGAGATTCATGTCCAAGTTCCAAGAGGTGCTGCCTTATAAAATGAAAAGCAACAAGGAAAAGAGAATGCATGCTGCTTTCAACCATGTTTATTTGCATTCTGTTAGTTCTATTCTTTTGGTTTGTTTTTATTATTTATTTATTTACTTCATTTCAACAAGTTACACCTTAAAGAATAAACACGTGGCTGTGCACACAGCTCTTGCAGTGTATATTTTTTTATTAATTTATTTAAGTTGATTATTTAACTGTGCTGTCAGTATTAAGACATATAATGTTAGTAGGATAATTCATGAACATGGAACAGTCAGAATGAGAATTGGCAAGGGAAACTGAAGTACCCAGAGAAACAAGATCACCCACTCACTATAGATGGTCGGCCACTTCGCTCTTCATCATGAACATTTGTTTGCCCATCTTTGGACATTCTACACCATTGTTTTACAGTTCCTTCACTCATTTTGGCTGTAAACCACCTGTAATTCATGATAGATTTCCGCAGCACTCATGTTTCTAGTGTGAAGAAAGTGGATAACAGCACGAATTTCACAGCTGGTGGGATTATCAATCGCAGGACACATCATAACTCACTCTGTAGAGACAAGAACAAACACTATATGACCAGTTATATGATGATTTACAAGGCAACGAGTCATATGACACTACCTCGCATGTGTGAGCTCTCCCCTGCTCCCACAGTAGTTGCCCAAATTAATTGAGGTTACTTTCCGAATAGCCCTCATATGTATCGGTGCTAGTATACACCTTCCTTTGACATTTCTGTCAGAGTGGGCCATCTTATGACAGAGCCTTCTCCGCTGTTCTGTGTAAGTGATTGTATTGTACATCTTCCTTCTTATTGTGACTCCTATAGTAGTTTCATTTGTTTGCAGATTTCT